CTTGCACCAAACGCCACTACTTCCGGCACCGTGCTGCCCTCTGCTCTAGGATTAACACCAGATAGCATGAAAATCAGGCTCAGTAGAAATGGACATAGCCCTGGAACTTCTCTAGGAAAATGGAATCACTCCACCAAGACGTGGTGACTCTGGCCGACCTCTGCCCAGCCTCCACTGGAAATCGGGAACACACACACATACACACACACACACACACACACACACACACACACTTCTCTTTCAGCTGCCTGACAGTCACTACAGCTTATGTTGAGATGCCCTGAGTCTGTATACTTTGTGGTAATTAGTCCCATGATGTAGAATTAGGAAATCAATAACCGAGTGTTTTTATTGCATATACTGTAGTCCTGTCGAAATGCCTTCTAGCAGGAATATAGTGAGGTAGTGCTTACTCTGTGAATATTACCATGATTTTTTACACTGTACAGTAGAAAGAACACTCAGAAGCGGCAGGCATGCTCCACTACAGCAAACAGACAACTTTTGCTGTAAGCAATACCTAGCAGTATGAGAATTCTATTTCAAGCCCTAAAATATTTCAACTTACAGCTTGTTTGGAAAAAAAAAATGATTTCCATTTTTGTAAAAATATATGTTTCCTGATTACCTCTTGCTAATAAATCTATTCTATCTCAGGGTGAACAATGAGTTTTGATGGGTTTCCTTTGTTCCCATGAGAAATACTGGATAAGAGTTGTTCCTTACCAGTCCCTGGACTGTGATCAGAGCTCTCAAGTGACGGTGACGTCATCCTTGCTTTGGTCTGATGAGGTTGACCGCTTCCATCACTTCTTGTACCCAAAACCAATCACTCGGAAACTTAATGGCTTAAAACTATTATTTGCATTACTTTCCCAAGTAGCAGCTCTTGCTTGGGGACTCTCATGAGACTGCAGTCAGTTGCGCAGGATCAAGGGCTGGAGTCATACGAGGGTACCACTTGCCCAGATACCCAAGATGGTGGTCTCACACCGCTGGAAGATGACTTTTCCAGCTGCTGCTCTGGGAATGTCAAAAGGATCATTCACAGTAGCATCTTTAAGGGACTTGGGTGTCTTGCTGTGTCCAACAATGAACTGCTCCAAGCCTCAGAAATAAATTCACAAGTGCTTCTTCCAAACCAGCCTCAGAAGCCACAGAATGGCATACAGCATCCTACAGTATCGAGCACTAAGAGGGTGTTTCTGTTCTTCTCAGTGGGAAAAGGAAGGGAAAACATGTATAGCCATCTTCCAGTGACTAGAGAAACAGACTATGAGAGCCACACTGCCAGACACAGGTGCAGAAAGTACCATGAGGGTACCAAGGAAGAGAGACCAGTGTGCTGGGATGAAAGTGGGGAGAGTAATAAGGCTCCACAAGAAGGAAGACACCAATGTTGAGAAAAGATGATCTACCAGGCAGATAGAGTGGGGATGGATGTGCCATGCAGAGAGAGAGGCATACAAAAAGGCCCAGATGCTAGCATGAAAGAAAGTGTGGGTTTGGCAAGTTGTTGGGAAAGGAATGGAGGTACAGTGGAGGAAATCAAACCATGGAAAGCCAGGAAGAGGGCTGGCAAAGTGACTCAGCAGGTAAAGGCTGCTCTCGCTGCCAAGCCTGACAACCTGAGTTCAATCCCTGAGATTCATATGATGGAGAGAACTGACCTGTGCAAGCTGTCCTCTGACTTGCATGTGTACACTGTGCTCACACACACACACGCACACACACACACACACACACACGCGCGCGCGCGCGCGCGCGCGCACGCGCGCGCAGAGAAAAGGATTCCAAAGGGCAGAGCACTGAAGGCTTAGGAGATATCGTGTCTGCACCACACACAGCACCATCCAAAGCCTCTAGGGATAGCAGAGGAAGATAAGCAGAACAGCAAATGGGAAAGGCCTGGGTACTGCCCTCAAGCGGAGGTAGCTGGTCACCACATGGGACTTTTAGTGTGAGTAGTGGGTTCAACCCCCACCTCATGTTTCCTCACTGACACCCATAGCCACCACCACCAGTCACAGGTGGGAGGCCCTACTGTGAGGTGTGGCCTACTTCTGGTGCTCCTGGGACCACCTTCCCCCCGGACACGAATCCAACAGCTCTTCAGTTCCTTCCATTCATAATAGGGCTAAAGGAAGGGTGGAGCAGAGAGAAAATGGTCTCCAAATGAAGTCCAGATTTAACTCTCAGCTTCACCCCTGTGCTTGTCAACCTTCATTGTCAACTTGCATAGACTTAGGATCGCCTAGAAGACTCCCAACCATGTCAGGGAGTGTATTTCCAAAGAGATCTGAGTGAAGCCGGAAGACCCATCCGAAATACAGTTGGGTTCCCACGGGCTGAGTTCCATGACTGAACACAAAGGGTAACAGGAGGGTGTCAGCACACAAGCATCTCTCCCTTCTTCCTGACTGCGGATGCAAGGTAACCAGCTGCCCCGTGCTCCTGCCACCATGTCTTCCCCACCCTGATGGACTATGTCCCCTGAACCATGAGCCAAATAAACCATTCCCCCTCTCATACTGCTTTCTGTCAGGGATGTAGTCACAGTTCCAAGAAAAGTCACTATACAAGCATTGCTGGCCCTCAGAGACTCAGTTTCCATACAGGAAAAACTGAGTGTAAAAATAGTATCTCCAGCTAGAGAAATGTCTCCATAGTTAAGAAAACTGGCTGCAATCCTAGTGCCCACATGACAGCTCACAATGGTCTGCAAATCCAGTTCCAAGGATGCAAATACCCTCTTCTGGTATCCACAGACACTAGGTGTGTACATGGTACACCGACATCCACACAGTACATGGACATACATGCACTCAATACAACCATACATGTAAGTTTTTTTTAAAGGAAAATTGTATTTCATCACAAAGTAGAATCAATTGAACCAATACAAGCCAAAAGCCACTAATTGAAAACCCCAAGTCCAAAATGCTCCAAAACCTAAAACTCTTTGATTTCCAACATGGTACCACAAGTGGAAAATTTCATAGTTGACTTCATGAGATGGATCACAGTCGAAAACAAGCACATCGAAAATAGTGCATCGGGGGCTGGAGAGGCTACTCAGCAGTCAAGAGCACCTACTGCTCTACCAGAGGACCCGGGTTCAGTTCCCACCACCCATATGGCATCTCACAACCATCTAAAACTCCAGATCCAGATCCAGGGGACCTGACAACTGATGCTCATGCATAAATGCAGACAAAACACCCATATACTTAAGATAGTTTTCAAGTAGTGTATCAAATAGTCTTCAAGCTGTATAAGGTACCTAGGAAATATACACAAATTTCACTTCTAGACTTAGGTTCCATGTCCCCAGGTATCTCATTTTATATATGTGCAAATTTTTAAATAAGAAAAATCTTAACCACAAAACACTTCTAGTCACAAGCTCTTCAGATAAATACTCACCCTTAAAATATTTAGCTGGGCGTTGGTGGCACACACCTTTAATCCCAGCACTTGGGAGGCAGAAGCAGGTGGATCTCTGTGAGTTCGAGGCCAGCCTGGTCTACAGAGCGAGTGCCAGGATTGGCTCCAAAGTTACACAAAGAAACCCTGTCTCGAAAAACAAAAACAAAAATAAAATAAAAATACTTAGCACAGAATAAACAGGTGTGGTGGCTCTCGCTTTTAATTCCAACAAGAAGCCAAAGCAGGAAGGTTGAGTATTCAAGTCTGGTGTACATAAGACAGTATCTAAAAACAAACAAACAAACAAAAAAAAACTGGCTAAGGAGACAGTTCAGTCAGTAAACTACTTGCCATGAAAGCTTGCAAACCTTGCTTAATCTCCTAGAACCTGTGTGAAAATGGTTAAGCAAGGTGACATGTGTTCATAATGCCAGACTGAAAAGCTGGAGACAGAAAGATCCCTGAGACTTACTGACCAGCTAGTGTAACCAAATCAGTGAACCCAGGCAAGTGAGAGAACCTGCCTCAAAGAAACAATGTGGTCAGAAACAGAGGAATGACACCTGGGGTTGACCTCTGACTTCCACACGCATGCATTTGCCAATTCACATATGAACACACACAAGTTGGCTGGTCATCTCAAAGCTGCTTTTCTTATAAAGGAGGGAAAGTAAGACAATAGAAAAAGAACTACTGGCTTTAGCATCCGGCAACTTCTGGTGTGCGGATTAAAATGGAAAGAGACATGGGGATGATCTGGCTTTGAAAACTATCACCCGGTTGATTGCCAGAGTTGATGCAGATGATCTGACTGGCTAAGCAGGTGCCCTCTTCCTCCCTCATCAATCCAGGTGCATGCCACCTGAAGCTGTATGTTTCCCCAAATAGAAAAGGACTCAGCATATGAGTAGCTGCTCTCCAAGCAAGCTCTCAGGATTGAAGGAACTTCATTCTACTGTGACCAATCTGTTTGAAGATTTGGCTGTCTTCTCTCCTTTATCTGTTTATGTTTTGTTGCTTTGGGTTTTGGTTGGTTGGTTGGTTGGTTGGTTGGTTTTGAGACAGGGTCTCATTGTGTAGCCCTGGCTGGCCTGGATCTCACTACATAGACCAGACTAGCCTTGAATTCATTCATAGAGATCTTCCTACCTCTACCTCCCCAGTGTGGAAATTAAAGACATATGCTACCACATCCTGCCTTTGGTTTTAAAGGTCAACTAAAAGCTTGATTTAGGGCTGGTGATGTGAGACTTGACTGTGAGTGACTCTGATTTGGTTTTCAGTCTGGTTGAGGCCCACTGCAGAGCATAGACCAAAACTACAACCTCCTGTAATAGTATTTAATACTTTTCTATAAGAAGGAAGGCAGGGTTTCCCCGTTGAACCCGGAAACTATCTAGCTCGCC